CCCCCCCCCCCCCTCCCTCCCCCCCGCGCGCTGCCTGTTTGCAAAAAACCCGACGTTCTCATCCATCGTCTGTGCAAGGGATATGCAGGAGACGAGACCCCAACGCTTTGCAAGCGAATGAGAGTTTGCTGGTAACTCCCGTAAGTGTGTGCGGTTTCGGAAAAAAAAAAATCTAAAAAAAAGATAACGACGGGACGAGTAGACGAGGGCTCACCGCCGAGAAGCGTCCGGACACCAGCGGTCGCCTTCCCGCCTGAAGCAAGGGCTTGGCGCGTGTCCGCAGGGACTTCCACAGCCCTTTCCGGGGCCCGGAGTCCGTGGCGTGGTAGTGGTCGGACCACACCACCAGGCACTGGCTCGCCAGCCTTTGGGTGTTTGTGGTGGTGGTGGTGACGGACAGGCGACAAGGAAGGATGATCGTGAACAGAGTCTCGTTCTTCTCAACTGGAGCCTCGGCGCGAAAGGATCGAAAACAGCGTCGCGTGTTTCAACTCGACTCCCTGGTTTGAAGTTTCTAGCAAAAGGCCAAATCCAGCCGGTTTTCTCCCACTCGCTGCAAAGACTTCAACACATCCCCTTCGACTGCTGTGGCTTTTCTCGAACGGGCAGTGTATTTTTCGATGATTGTACGCAAACTTCAAAAAAGCTTTCCAACAACTCCTGGAACTCCTGGAAGGTGATACTCTTCCAGTTCAAAAGGTTCCGTCCTACCACACGACATGTGGTGCTCACGAGAGAAAGGAGCTGTTACTCGCGGCGACTATCGTACGAGGGGTAAGTAACCTGGCAAAACAACGCATGCATGCCGTCGTTTCGCGAAAAACACGTGGAAGGGAAGGACCGCTTGCAGGGGTAGGGGCCCTTCTGTGTGACCACGGATTGCAGCTAGTTCCTCCCACGGATTGGAGCTACATCCTGCCCGGCAGAAATGCTGTGAGCGCTTTCATGACAAAAAAGAAAATAAAGTCGCCGAACGCGGATTGCAGCTAGCTCCTGCCCGGCAGGAATGCTGTGAGGGCTTTCATGACAGAAAGGAAGAAAGTCGCCGGACATGGACGCACCGGTTGCAGACGTAGCAGAAGCACAGGGAACACTTCTCCTTGTGGCTGCTGCCCCCTTCCGGACCCTCGAGCTGCAATAGAAGCACAGGGGGGGGTGTTGTATATGTCCGCGACTTGGAAGGGAGAGACTGAATATCGCTTGTATTAGAAACGCAGAAGCAAGAGAAGAGAAGAAGAAGAGTGCTTCCGGAAAACAGAGAAGCAGGGGTCACAAACACAAGAACCCCCTCCCTGGTTTTTCACGCAAGTGGCAAACCATCCGTGGGGCATGGTTACCCCTGATCAGACCTAGGGACTCTAAACAGTAACGGTGCAAGGGAAAACCCGGCCATACGGATCAAAAACCCTCGCCTACCCTAAACATATATAACCGTCGCTATCACGGAGGATTCCAACGGCCGCACTTCCAAGACAAGATCAAGGCAGGACAAATTGTACCGGGCACGGGGATTACGCATCTCTCGGTAGCGCTACGGGCGCTTCTAGGCTCCAACCTCGAGTGACGTGCCGGTAAATCCTTCCTGCGTGACGTACCATGATCATAAAGTCCAGTGCTAAACAACAACAAAAA